GGAGAGCCAAACCTTACCAGACATTTAAACAGGTGTGATTTTGTTCTTTTGCTGAGAAGGTCTAGCAGCTGTGACACTCAATATCAGAGAATGTACCTTGTACCCAGAATCTGGTCTCTTAAGTACCAGAAAAGGAACCAGGAATCCTTGGAAACAAGATTAATCCTGGTCCTAAACCCAAGTAAATAAATACAAGATGAGCCTGGAAGTATGTCAAAAGATACATGCACCAATTTGATTATATCTGGGACAATTTGAAGAACAAATAAAAATGTGACTAATGAATTATATCCAGTAGAATAAAATAAATAGGGACATTCCTTACAGTATTATTCCAATTAATATAAACTAAGTAGATGGACTCGTGGAAATAGAAAAATCACCTTTTGGCAAACACCACAGAGATAATTATTGTAAGCAAAAATGCTAAATTAGTGGGTGAAAGTATGATGAGTCTCAAATGATCTCCTCACAAATTCATTAATTACAAAAGAAATTATAACTTTACAGTGGAGATACTTGGCAAGTACCACCAAGTGATCGAAGCTAATGTTACCAATAGTAAGATATTGGCATGATGCTTCTCCTGACATGCACTGAGAAAGGTACAACTTCTGTGGTCTTTTTGCCAAAAAAAAAAAAAAGTGACAAATCACAAAACAAACCTAAATTGAGTGACATTCTACAAAATAGTTGTCTGATACTCTTCAGAAGTGTCAAGATCATTTACAAAATACAAAACTGATGATAGGAGATTAAGGAAGCATGATAGTGAAAAGCAGAGTGCCTTGCATTGAACTTTGGACCAGATGAAGGATATGAGTGGGATAATTGTTGCACGTAACATTAGATCCATAGACTATATTATTGTATCCATGTTAACTTAACCCTTAAAATTGTTGTTTTGAGTTCTTGTTCAGTGATGTATATCTGCGTAATTTTTGTTTCTTTGCTCTCTAGGTTTATGTAAAGTCTTTATTCACCGAAGTCAGATAGATTTTTCAGACCTTCCAAAAATAATGGTGATGTGAGTTTAGTTTGATTATGTCCACTTTTTCTTCACTTGTATTCCCCACTGTTAGGTGGTGGTGCTAGATAATAAATAATGTGGTACTGTTTTCAAACTGATTAATGGAGTATAACATTAGTGAATTATAACCAGCATTTTAAAAAATTGTAGAAAATATCAGTATCAGGGAGTGAGTTTAAATACTGTTTTATATTCATTTCAGTTACACCAAATATATGTTGTGTGTGTACTGACTACTCATGTAACATGTATTATATAATCTTAATTATCATCATAAAAGTTGAAAAATGCTTGCTTCAAGAGCTATCACCCTTGTGAAGGGAGATGAAATTGTCTAACTTCAGGCAAGCAAAAATAAGAAATTTAGATAGTTTCATCTGACACTTCTGAAACATTTTGCAGAGCAAAACCAGGGAGTTGTCTAAAAGTGGAAGAGTTTTGTTCAGTTTAAACATTTAACCAGTTGTATTTTTAATAGAATGTAAGTCCTATAACTAATCTCCAGAAAAACTGTTTAAAAGCAGAATATCCAGTGTGTCTACCAGTAGTTAAATTCCTTATGTAGCAAATCTTATGCTGTTGCAAGCACAGATTCTGGCTGTAAAATTTAAGTATGTGTAGAAATTTCTGAAATACAAACTGACAAAAACGAACAACCTTGATAGGCCAAATGGATACAGTGCCAAGACAGAGAAGCAGACCAGTTGGCTCCAGAGGCAGGTAGAGAATTTGTGTTTCTGTTATTGAGGGCAAGTGCTCTTGGAACTGTATGTGTGTCTTTTCTTTATGACTTTTACATGTTCCTCTAAGAAAAAATTTTGAGTTCTTTGCTGTTGGTTACCTTGTGTAAGAATTGAGTTTGAACTCCTAAGCACACATGGACTTCACATGCACCAACAAAGTGCCCTGCTTGACCCCCCAGGCTTTTGGGGGAAAAAAAGGGCCTATGAAACATCTCAGAAAAAGGCATTTCTTTCTTTTTTTAATGTTTGGATTTTGGACAGAAGTGCGATCTGGATTTTATTTCTGGCTTTGTTACTAGTTATCTGTTTAACCACTGCCAAGCAATTTGCCTTTCTCAACTTCAGTTTTGTCTTCTGTGAAGTATGAAGGGGTATCTGGGATGATGGGAAAATCAAATGAGATGGAAAATAGAAAAGAGCTGTAGGTTTTATAATGCACCTTATAAATGAAAAGAAAGCAATGATACTATTTTACTGCTTTTTCTCTAATTAGAAGAAGATTGCATACTGAGAAGGATTGATCCTTTAAACAGTCTCTTCCTTTTTTTTACAGTTATTACAAAAATCTGTAAGGGAGAAGTATAGGAATGTAGTTTTTCAACAGATTTGACGGTAGTTAGAGTGGAGTTATATAGCCCATTTATTGAGTAAACTGTTACTCGAACTGGAGAAAATTTGCATGTCCAAAGTAGTTGTTCATTCTGGTCCAAAGATGACACCTACACCATTAAATTTGTTTTCTGGTCAAATATGAGCTAGAAAAAGAATCTCAAGAGAAATGGATGTTGAATTTAATTTTCCTGAGACCATTATAATTGAAAATCTCTTTAGTCCAATTGCTTGCTCTTTGATCATTATCAAGGTGATTCAGGTAGACTTTATATAGTTCAGATGACATCCTTTGGAATTAGCCTACGTACGTTCAATTAACTTGTTTCATTTCCTGGAGGAGTCTGATGCCAGATCCCCCCCCCCATTTAAGTTGTCTGTATATAAATCCCATAGCTATAGGGAAATTTTAAAAGCACGAGAAGATGTCTTTTTTTGGTACAGGAGATTGAATTCGGATCCTTGCGCTTTCGAGGCAGGGAGCGGAACCACAGAGCTAAATCCCCAGCCCCGAGAAGATGTCTTTTTAAAAATCATTTCTTCCCTTTATTCAGTTGCTGTGAGGATTTTTAAAAGTTTCTTTGGCAGATATCTAGATGAGCATTGACTTGCAGTGTTTATAAAACCACATTCTCGTTTTTAGCCTAAAAGTATGCAAACATTCTGAACTCATTTTTCTCTTTTTTCTTTTATGTGTCTTTAAATATTTCCTAGAAAATTGTATTTTAATGAGTTTGTCAGGTGTTTTCCCAGCTGACCCTAGTCCATGATACTCTAGGGCACAAGTGTATTTTTTACACTTTAATTTACTCAAAAAAATTTTTACACTGAAAAACTTCTTAACAGTATATTTAAGTCAAGTGGTATAAATGAGACTCATTGAAAAGCTTTAAAGAACTCTGGTGCTGAAACTGGTTTCCTTCTTTAGTTCAAAACCATTCAGAAAATGAATGACCTTTATTTTCTTCTCTGCCACACACAACTATAATTTCCCATGACTATTTATGGTCTGTACAACCGGTCTCTTAACTTCCCTTTAAGTCAACGGAATACTTGTTTAAGAAAATATTCTATTTTAAGGAAGCTGCTTTTCCACAAATAAGTCATAGATTTTGTGTGTGTAAGTGTGTAGGGGGATGCAAGATTGGTAACAGTCCTAAGAAAGACTCCTAATATAAAGCCTTTTATCCAAGATTAAAAATAACCATATCTGGTATTCCATATTTTTCTTTTTAAAGGAGAATTTTATTGTTTTCCTTTACCGTATGACAGAATAGGTCCAAATCCATGCCGAAAGTTTAAACCCAGATGATTTTGAACCAAGAGAATGTTGTGGTTCATTAACAGTGTAGATCCAGGTCAGGAGCCCTCTGTACTGAGCTCTCACCATTTCCCAATTGCTACATCTGCAGAGCTCGACATCCTTTGAGGCAGAAGGGTTATGCCTGACTCGTGAGCCATGGTACAGTCTGTTCTTCCCATTCCTTTAGAATTATTTGGAACCTGATCACAGCAAGGATTTTTATCCAGTCCCTAGCAATGTATTGTGTGTTCATCTGTGTCTCAGAATAATTGGAAGAATTGTTTAGTTTTTGACAGTTTTAGTTATTTTAGGTTTAAAACTATTCTTTGTGTTTTATCCATTGCTCACCCTGACATCTGGAAACTCTGGCAGCATTTATATTGTCTTTGTTTTATTTCAAATTTTATTGAAGTATAATATAAATACAGAAAAGTGGCCACATCTTAACTGTAGTACCTGATTTTCTCAAAGTGAACACATTTGTGTAACCATGCTTTCTTTTGAATCCTCCCTTCCTCCTTACCTAAGAATACCACCACCCTCACTTCTAGTACCATAGATTAGTCTTTGACTTCCTACTTTGTAGTGATGGAGTCATGCATCTCTGTTGTATCTGGCTTCTTTCACCATTATATTTGTGAGATTCATTCTGTTGATGTTATACTATTGCTTATAGTTCTTCATCTCATTGCTACATAGTATTGTGTTACTACAGAACAGGTTACCTCATACAGTTATGACTATATGGCAGTAAAAGTAGTTTGGCTGTCTTACTGAAAAGGACTTAGTTACTATGTGGTTTAGTTGTATTGTGATATAATACCTAATTGTATTACTCTAAGAGCCCCTTTATTTATTTTATTTATTTTTTTGTACCAGGGATCGAACTTGGGTCCTTGTGCTTGTGGGGCAGGCAGCGGAACCACTAAGCTAAATCTCCAGCCCTTCCCTTTATTTTTTTAAAGTCCCTTTTTTTCCCTCTTTCTTAAGTCAGATCATTAACCTTGCCTTGCTGCTTTTCTTTTCACTCCCTACCGTTACAAAAATAATCAATTTTCTCTTACTTTTGTGCTTCCATAAAAATGGATTTATGTCTCTTTGCATTTAATACATATATTGTGTTCATCATAGATAGTGAGTCAGGAATCCATATACCTGCTAAGTTGAATTCTTTGAAGCCAATACTTGTCTTTTCATTTATGTTTATAAACCCATCTTCTGATATGCCTGGTACTTATCAGTTTCTAAGTTTGTGCAGGCCTCTAAACTAGAACTCTGGTTTATCAATGAGTTTTATTGCATTTTGTCATTATAGCCTGAGATTCCTGAATGCATCTGCAAACAAACTGGAAACCCTTCCTCCAGCTACACTTTCTGAAGAGACAAACAGTATCTTACAAGAGTTGTATTTGACAAATAACAACCTCACAGATAAATGTGTGCCCTTATTAACAGGACACCCCCATCTGAAGATCCTTCACATGGCCTATAACCGACTTCAGAGTTTTCCAGCAAGGTAAGGGCAGGTTGTAAAGTGATGTTCTTCTTGTATTTCTACAAATGTACTCATAGAAAGGAGAAAGGTAAAAGCTGAAATGTTTATTTCAAGAAATGTAAAGCTTGTTTGCTTATTCCCCTCACATTTACAGTTGTCTTTTATACAAGGTACAATCAGCATAACTCTAAAGAGAAGTGTATTGGTTTTTCTAATATGAATGTATTCGACGACATAGCCACTAGAATGTTCTTAAGATTTTGAAATGAGGTATATTGTTTAGTAGGTAAATATTTTTCCTATTGCTTCTCTTCAGCCAAATTGATTAAAAAATTATATTATTTTGGTGTGGGAGAATTGGAATGTAACCTAGGAACCTAAAAGTTCTTGACTAAATACTAGCTTTTGTATTAATGCTTATAGTATAAAAAGCAGTGGGATCTGGGGAATATAGCTCAGTGGTTGGGCACTGGCCTAGGAGGCACAAAGCCTTCAGTTCTATCCCCAGAACAAAAAACAAAATAAAGTGATGGTATCCTCTCCCACTGTAGAAACTATGTGACTACAAATCATGACTCTCAGAAGATTTCATTTTTAATTTTTAAGTTTTGGGGAGCAGTAGCATGGTGTCTACTTCTGAGTGGATCAACACACTGAGCCTGCTGTGAGGATATACTGTTTCCATTTCATCGGCATTTATCCACCTAATAAGTTAGGACTCGGAACACATACCCACATAAGAAGAAGCAAACATTAGCCCTTCTAGAATTCTGCTGGTAACTGGAGTTTAACATAAGGACCAAGTCAAAATACTGCTAGCATAACCTCCCTGTGCTGCCAGTAGGGCCACCAGTCTGTTTCAAGACCTTGCAGGAGGATGAAGCCCCAGATATGTGGTGACTTCAGATTTGCTTTGTTTATGGTAGTATTTTTTTCCATTCACTTGATATTGATAGTTAAACTGTTTGTTACTTCTATATACTTTTACTTTATTATGGACTGCAGAGATAATATTTTGGAAAAAATATAATAGTTGCATAACAATTATATATTTGAAAGGGTTCATGGTCCTATTTAAGACAGCAACTTTAGAAAAACCTGCAAAAGAAGTGATCATTAGCTCTCATTCTGAGGCTATTTTCCTAGTGACTCAATCACCCTACCTGAAGAACAAGTTTTTTTATGTGCTTTGTAAAAATTCATTTTGCTATGATTTCTCTCACCCTGGAGGTTGTGATTTGGTGCATTGATCTCCTAGAAGACCTGAGCTTCTCAAGAGCCAAGACTGTGGCTTTTTATCTCCTTCAGCTTCATTTGTCATCTGAGTTCTGGCCTATAACAGACATTCAGCAAATGGTTATGAACATGCCCCCTTTATCAAGCCATTGTTGGTCCACCTTCCATTTTCAGAAATGGAAATCTTTGACATTTCCTTTCTTGGGCCTAATCTGTGAATCTTTGATTATTTTTCCCTGTTACCCATTGTTATCTCCACATTTCTCTCAAAATATGAGGCTATCATATTCAAATAATATGAAGTCAGGCTATCATAGATGAATTATTTGAATGTCTGTGTATGGGAAGTTTATGATATCAGAAGATCTGATTTCATAAGATAAAAATGTATTTCCTAGACATATTTTTAAGATAAGCAAATGTGATAACCTTCAATATTTGAGAGGTGACAGAAAAAGAAAATTCTTCTTGCTAATTTTTGTCAGAGTGTGTTATGATAATTGAAATCACAACAAGCAGAAAGGATTCCAGTAACTGTATCCTAAATGACTCAGATTATAAATGAGTTACATTAACTGGGAGTCCTGTATTTAGAGTTTCTCATCACCAAGGGTAGAAAGAAGATCTGAGGAGTAGAAGCTTATATGGTGATTTGGGCACTGCCAGGAGGCCAAGAAGTATTCCAAGTGGCTTTCAACATGCCCCTGTGCCTCACCATCACCTTGTAATCATCTGGGATGTCAGAGTGGTTTGGGGTGTGAGGTTTGAGGAGGAAAGCATATCTTAATAGGAGCTACTGCTCTATTCTTTGCATCCCCTTGAGCTTTCAGTACCAAAAGCAAGAAATCATGTTCTCAAAGTAAGCTGTCTTAAATCAGTTATACTGTATTAATGCCTGCCATTGATTTAAGTAGGATTTTCATTGGAGTTCAGATTAAACTACATAACAAACTGATTGTTGCCATGATAACATACACAAATTTTTAGGTAGAAAAAATTGTTGTCAGTTTGATGAGTTGAAGTAAAGTTTTTGTTCTATAATAGGAAAGGAGATAATACTTCGATACTCAAAAACTGGTAAAAAATATTATTTTTTAAAACGACTATTACAAGTCAGTCTTTAAAGTCTACTTTGATTCTGATTTTCTTATTGTGCATGTGTCTTTAACTTGCCTTACAATAATTTTGTAAATTCTTCTTTTGTGAATTTTTCTCTTTTTTAGTAAAATGGCAAAACTGGAGGAACTTGAAGAAATTGATATCAGTGGGAATAAACTGAAAGCCATCCCAACAACGATCATGAATTGCAGGCGCATGCACACTGTGATTGCTCACTCCAATTCCATTGAAGTCTTTCCTGAAGTTATGCAGCTCCCAGAAATCAAGGTATATGGGTTGATTTCATAAACTGTGGGTTTTAAGTCAGCAGAGAGTGGATTTCCTTAATTCATCCATTCAACATATTTGTACCTTTGTTGCATTTAACTCAGATTGAAGACTCCCAATAGTCTTTGATCCAAAGGACTACATTGCTGAGTTAGCAGAATTCTAAGCCAAAACTGAACTGGATGTTTGGAAAATTGTACTCCTGGGCTGTTGGAATGATATGAGGATAGCTATATAGCCAACATGTGCTCTTTTTCTTGTCTAATAGTTCATTTCTCACTTCCTTCCAGAGTTGTTATGAGTCAAATGATGAGTCAGGTGTGAAAGCAGTTTCAAAAGATTAATAGTACCACTGCCCATCCCAACTCACCTAATTAAAGAGCACAAAAGCCAGTCAGTGATAATTCTTTATATAGATTGCTGTTACCAAACATTTTTTTCAACTGAATGAAATGGACACAGTAGATATTACTCCCATTTTATAGATGAGAACACTGAGGTGCTGAAAAAATAAAATGATTTGTGTAAATGAGGCCAGTGAATTGGCAGCAAAGGCAGCCTGCAATTCCCAATTCCTGACTTAAGATAGACTTATAGAATGAAACAAGCTCACTAGAACAAAAGCTGTTTCACAGGTTTGTACATAATACAGTTCTCCATTTCTATTTTATTGTTTCTAATTATCTATTTTATGCTTCATAAAAATTAAGTGGATATGGACTTGCAGCATATTCTAATCACTTAACAAGGATTAAAAGTAATAGCTGTTTTAGCCATTCTTCACTCTGAGTTTTAATTTTATTTATATTTTAATTTTATATAATTTTAAGAAATTATATATACCTATGAATATACTTTAAATAGCATGTTTCATCATTGCAGAGCCTATATATTTATTTGGTTAAAGTATATACCAGCCATTTTCTAAGTGTGCACATGTGTCTGTTTTAAGCTATGAAGAGTTTTGCTTTGGGCCTTAAAAGCACTATCACCTTATGCGTCACCATTGGCAGTTTAGAGTGTTTAGTAAACTTCCAGAAAGACTGTACTTTTAATTTCACAGAGTTGAAGAGCCGGGTTCTTTCAGACTTGGATTCTTGCTGAAAATTACCTCAGTGCTCTGTTTCTTCATTCAAAATGAGGAAAAGAATCAAATGTCCTCTAAAAGACTGTTACGATGAAATGAAATGATACATGTAAAAATGGTACATGTTTTGAAGTAGGAATGGCACATAGGTAGAACTCTAAATGTTAGCTACTTTTTAAAACTTATTTTTCTTTTTAAAAATTTTTATTAGTACATGTATTTAGTAGGTTATATTTGCATTCATCATGGGGAATCGTTACATGTACGTAATACATCTTACTACTTTGTATGTACCCTCTCACTCTCCTCCCTCACCATCTCTTGGTACATTTCCCATTTGCAAAAGACCAGTCTCCCTGTTTCCTATTGTCTGTCTTTTATTTTGCTCTTCATTTATATTTTGGGTTTCTCATATGAGAGAAACCATGGCAATATTGAAGCTTGTATATCTGATTTACTTCATTTAACATTATGGTCTCAAGGTGCATCCATTTTCGTACAAGTGACTCAAGTTTAACCTTCTTTATAGCAGAGTGGCACTCCATTGTGTATAAATACCACATTTTCTTTATCCATTTATCTGTTGATGGACATATAGACCACTTCCAAGATTTAGCTATTATGAATTGTGCTGCTATAAACATGGGTATGCATGTGTTACTGTAATATGATGTCTTTAATTCTTTGGGGAAGATACCTAGAAGGGGAATAGCTGGGTTGAATGGAATTGCTTTTTTTTTTTCCTCCAGGAATCTCCATAGTGATTCCCATAATGGTTTTACAACTTAGTTTACACTCCCACCAACAATGAAGAATTCTATTTTCCCACAGCCTCTTCAGCATTTATTATTACTTTATTTCTTGATGATAGCCATTCTTTCTGGAGTAACGTGGAATCTCAGCGTTGTTTTAATTTGCATTTCTCAGATGGCCAGAGATGTTGAACATTTTTTTATGTATTTATTGGCCCTTTGTACTTCTGAGAAATGTCTGTTCATCTCAGTTGTCAATTTTTGATTATTTTATTTTGGTGAGGTCTAATTTTTTTTAGTTCTTTAAATATTCTAGATATTAGTCCTCTGGAGAGCAGCTGGCAAAAATATTTTCCTATTGTGTAGGCCGTCCCTGTACTTCGTTGGTTGTTTCCTTTGCTGTGCGGAAGCTTTTTAATTTGTTGTGATCCCATGTGTTGATTCTTGGTATTATTTCTTGTGAAGTTGGGGTTCAGAATGTTCAGAATGTCCTTACCTATATCTGTATTTTCAAGAGTTTTACCTATTTATCTTCCAGTAGATTAAGTATTTCTGTTTTAAGTTAGAATTTTAAATTTTAATTTAGTACATGGTGAGAGATAGGGGCTTAGATTCAATCTCATGCATGTGGATAGCAAGTTTTCCTAGCACCATTTGTTAAAGATGCTGTCTTTCCCCCAGTTCCTCGGGGATTGTTAAACTGGTCTCCATACACTGATGAGGTGATACACCATCCCAGCAAAGTGTAACAGAGATTCCAGAGTAACCTCCTGTTTGCTGGTTAGTTTCTGTACTTGGCTTTTTAATGTTTTTTAATGGAGGCTTTTTTTAAAAAGTATATGGGTTAAATTAGATAGCATGTGTGAAACCCTAGGTTCACTCTTCAGCACAAAAGAAACGGACCAAAACAAGACAAATAGACATTTAAATGTTTCATATTTTGACTGTATTTAACAAAATCTAGATGTATAAAAGCTAAACCTCTCCTAATGTTGCTTAGGTCCCTGGATTCTAGAATCAGTGCCTTCTATTTCTGTTGAATTCTTTCCCCTATTGTCTTCTTTCTGTACCAAACTTACAGCTCCTTTTAAAATGTTACTTCTAGCCAGGTGTAATAGTGCATACATGTAATCCTAGCTACTTGGGAGGCTGGGGGAAGAGGATTACAAGTTCAAGGACAGCCCAGGCAACTTAGCAAGATTTCTTAAAATAAGAAAAAAAAAGGGGGCTTTATCACTTTAGCTCAGTGATAAAGAACCCCTGGGTTCAATCCTAGTAACTAACACACACACACACACACACACACACACACACAAAGTTCTGGCATTTTAAAATGATTTCCATTCTTTTATCCTTTGATTTCACCTCCCCTCCCTAGCTACTATATCATAGCATATTCCATATTTTTCAGTTCTAATCCTTCCATTACCCATAAATGTAGGGGGTTTTTTGTTGAGCTTTTGGGAAGTAATATCAGTTATTCTTCATGTATAAAAACAAACTCTTTTATCCCTTTTTATTGGAAAAACATTAGTTGTCTTGTTTTAGAACTCTGAACTGGTATTTTAGTGTGTCATTTGAGAATATTTAAGTTGCAGTATAATTGTTTGCAAACATTTAACTTTTCAAAAGAAAATTCCTAGTAAAAATAGTCTATTTTGAATGATAAATATAATTACAGAAGTCTTCATTGCAAAATGAGCCCTAAAGTATATTTTAAATGTTGAGTGAATAGTTTTATTTCTAGGAGGATATATTCCAGCCTATATTAAATAGTTAATTTTAATGTATTATTGAGTTAATACCCCTAAATGTTATTTATATTGCTTCTAGAAAATAAAGTACAATAATTGTTAGTTGTAAAGTATCTCATCAATATACTGTATTAAGATCATTGCAATTACAAAAACAGCAGGTAACGTTTAAAATGATAAGATCATGGTGCATTTAACCAGCTAGTTCTCTCCAAGCAGTATTATCTTTTCAGACATTAAAGGAAAATGTTTATTCACAGCTTTGTTACCAAAACTTTCAAACCAATTATTTAAAAGGACAAACAAATCTCTATGCTAAAATATATATGTTAAAATGATTTTAAAACATTTGAAAAAGTAGGCCATTATTCATGTATTTCTAAAACAAAGATTGTAGGAACCTTCTAATCTGAGCTAACATTTAGCTCTGGTCTTTCTTTCCCATTTTGGTACATCCAGTGAAATCTGTTAAGTGATCCTTTGGTGCTGTTTTCTAACTGGACAGGGAGGTCATGAAATTTGTTAGTAAGAAAAATATGTTTTCAGAATTTCGTGGTGAGTTCAGATAGACCCAAAGTTACAGTACTTTTATTCCTTAGTATTTGTCTTTGTTTTCTTTTTTTTGAAGCAAAACATTTATTGGTAAAATTTAAATATACATAATGATAACACTCATCATAGGAAATTGTTCAGCACTTTTAAATTGATGTTCTAAACCCCATACCACCAGTCCTGTCTCCTTGGAACAGATTGCACTATGTTACTGTTCTAAAGTAGATGAGGCTCGAAGGTTTAGCTCAGTGGTAGGGCATTGCCTGGTTCAGTCCCTAACACTAGAAAAATAAATAAATAAAACAGACAGATCTCCTTCTGAATAATGATTAGCTCACAATCAGCTATTGAAGAACACATGATCCAAATCCTCACTTAAGTAAGACTTAGCTTGGTTGGACCTGGAACTGAGTCCACACCTAGGGGCACTAATGACTGGCCAGCCCCAGAGGCTGAGATGGCTGTGGATATGATATTTGATTCCTTCATCGGGGTCCTCCACTACACTGCAGAAGCAACATTGATGATGTAGTAGTTTTACCACAAAACCCAAGCAAGTTTAGGATTTCTAATTGTAAATTACTGTAATCCTTTTCAAGTATATTTTAAGCAGTGGAAACATTTTGAAAACAATTAGTGGAATTAAGATTTAAACACTGTATGAGCAATTTCTTTGTGTCAAATTTCTGTATTCCTATGGCTTCTCTACTGAATGAACGCCACCTTTTAAAACATTGCCCATTCACTTCAGAAAGCTACTTTTACAATTGTGCTCTGCAGTTAATAGACAACTTGCTTATGTTGGGTGAGTTCATCTCTAGAATCTGTTTTACCCTAACTAGATAATAAAGTGTG